AAAAAAGTGGTTACAATTTGACCTAATTTTATCCTATTCGTAACAAGGCAATTATGGCAATTATAGGGTGTGAGCCAAACCTCCCGGCGCTGCGCGTGTAGTTTTTTTTTTAGTCTATGGTACAAAATTATTTTCCACATCGCCAAAATTAACAAACATAATGCAAAACAGCACAAAACTCAAATTACAGCAGAGCATAAAACAAAACACGAACAAGGAAACCGCAACAAGGCCCAAACGCCCAAATCCACTGCATGCGGCCTGCAACGCGCGTTTCACCGACGCACGTGCTGAATATGAACTAACGTGAACCAGCGGTCAAAGGTCCTGACTTCGCCATTTAATAAGAATTACAGAAGCTACAGTCAGGAGTTCTGCGTGAATGGTTTAATAATGAATGAAGAAGCACTGACCTGCAGAGAGGAGCTTCATGGCGTGCGTGAATGAGGAGTCCAGGCTGTCTTTTTCCGCCAGTAACTCCGGCAGATATTTACCGTCTCCGGCGCTGTTCTTACGCTTAGCGTTGCTGTTATTAGCATCCATGTCGCTCACGGCTTACGGGACTTCTGCAGAGAACTCAAACAGCACGTGCAGGAAAGTGGAGCTGGAAATGCGTGCCCAAGCTTTTGTACTTGTCCTAACAAAGGAAACGGCGGCTAATGGAGCAGGTGGAAATGACGTCACATGGCGAAACCCGCTTCCGTTTCAGTGTTAAAAGAGCTGGGGGGAGGGGCGTCGACTGTGATTGGCCTGTCCTGACCAGCGCTGAGAAAAGTAACAGATGTCAGGCGACTATGCTGAAGTTTAGGCACATCGTGAGGGGAAAAATCACCGAACATTATGAGCAAAATTTAAATATGCATTATAAGAGGTGTAAAAACAACAAAATTATCAAACAAATATATACTGACTTACTGATCAAGCACGTTATAAAGGTTACATTTGTAAAAAACAAAACAAAAGCGCTGTAATTACTGTATACAGCATATTCACATTTTGTGACCCAGGACAACAAACCCAGTCATAAGGATCTTTTTTTTTGTAATTGAGGTTTATACATCTGAAATCTGAATAAATAAGCTTTCCATTGATGCATGGTTTGTTAGTACAGGACAATATTTGGCTGAGATACAACTAGGCTATTTGAAAATCTGGAATCTGAGGGTACAAAAAAATCAAAATATTGAGAAAATCGCCTTTAAAGTTGTCCAGATGAAATTCTTATCAATGCATATTACTAATCAAACATTAAGTTTTGATATATTTGCGGTAGGAAATGTACAAAATATCTTCATGGAACATGATCTTTACTTAATAACCTAATGAGTTTTGGCATAAAAGAAAAAATTTGACCCATACAATGTATTTTTGGCTATTGCTACAAATATACCTGTGCGATTTATGACTGGTTTTGTGGTCCAGGGTCACAAATATTAAATACAACTAGAAAATGTGAAAGAATTATATTTAGTTTTGTACTGTGTTTTTGTAAATTCAATTTTGTTAAAATACTGTTTTCATCTGTTTGCTATTTTTAGTGGTTAATATTTACTATCTTTCATAGTGTGATTTTGGGGGAAATGGTAATCAAACAGTTAGGTTCAGTTTGACCTACAACTATATTACTAGCCATAAAAATAGTAGCCCATATGGAACCACAACAATTAAAAACAGAAACATACAAAAGACATGAAAATTCTAAATTGACTTGCAATACAGATTAAATAATCTAGATTGGCATTACAAAGGCAACGATGAGTAGATGCAGAATAGAGGCTGATGTTGATGGGGCGGATTGTTTTTCACATGTAAATGTGCAAACTGAAGACAAAAGAATATTGATTAGGGCATATCGATGTGTTTCACACAGGGTAAAAGTGTGAAAGTGAGCAGGGCGTGGACAAAGAAGCATAAATGGGGCAGTTTTCAAAACGTCTGGCACAGGACAATAGATGAATGGGTGCTTGGGAACGCGAGTAGATCACCAGGAGTCTTTGTGTAGGTCTCCTGAATGCAATAGTCTAAGGAAATGCTTCATAAAAGCAGGGTTTTGCAGTTATCATCATCAGATTTGTACCAGAACATGGTCAGACGTGCACATTTAAGGCCTTTGTATTTCTGGACAAAGACAAAAAGCAAATAACAAGACTTGATTACTGACTTTTTGTTGTTTCCAATTTTTCTACTTCAATGTCAGCTATTGTAGAATAGAAAAATGAGTGTGCATCATACATTTCAAGTGAAAACTGTCACATATTTCTGTAGAAATAGTATTTTTTAAAGGTTTAATTTGTAAAAAGTTATAATTACTGTATACAGTATATTCAGTTTGTGAAAATGAAAATATTACAATTTTATATATATATATATATATAGTTTGTTATACTGTTTTTGATTTGTGGTTACTCTTTACTATTTTTCATTGTAATAAAACAAATTATACTCAGTTTGACCTGTAAACATCATAAGTACTAATTACAATATTAGTATATGGAACTGGCCCCTGACTGAGTCTGGTTTCTCCCAAGGTTTTTTCTCCATTCTGTCACCGATGGAGTGTTGGTTCCTTGCCGCTGTTGCCTTTGGCTTTGGGGACGTTTGACTGATTGCACAGAAACTATTGGAAGAGAACTGAACTGGATGATGACATCACTGAATTATCAATGAATTGACTTTAGCTGGAAAAATGACTCTTTGTCACTGTCCTCTTGCGTTATTGACAAACTATTTTCCTGTTGACACTGTAAAGCTGCTTTGACACAATCAGTATTGTATAAAGCATATTTTTGTATTGTATTTTTTTCCCTCAATTTTTTAATTTTTGGATAATAAAACTATAACATATCCCCAGTTTCCATATCAAAAATCTGGGCTGCGTTTCTCAGAAACATTGTAAGCCTAAGTAGATCATAGATCCATTGCCACCAGTGGTCTCTAGGATCAACTTATCTCATGATGCTTTAGAGAAACTCAACCCTGTTCATTTTGACCTAATCTGGATGTTGACTTTTACCCTGTAACGCCCACAGTATCATATTAGACATGGAAATTTCTGTTGTACACAATCTACTAAATGCCTTCTGTCCTCCAAATAATGGGATTTTGTCTCATACTTTGCTATTTTACTGTTAATGATGACAGCTTTTAATCAAACGGCTGTAATTACCGATTTTATACATAGAAATCACAAAAATAAACCAATTTAACAGAATTATCAGTATTTGTATTGGAAGTATTGGTCTTGATAATACTTAGAACTGTATAAAAATAAGTGCTGTCACCCAATCTTTCTACAGACTGTAAGTAAGTTTTTCATATTTAAAGAATTTGCCACTGACGATGTTTTGAGCAGTGTAGAGTAACGTAGCGTTTGTAGTTTGTCATTTCTCCGATCACAAATGTAGACATGGTTTTATGTTTACGTGGGGCGATGCAATGCAACGCGTAAAAGAACCGTAATTATAATCCGTAATTATGTCCCCACTGGATACAACAAATGCCTCGTTTATAATGGGTTTTCATGTTTTTGTCTCGTCGCTCCGGCCGGGACAAGGCATCACAATATGGCAAGGGGCGTAACATTTCCGTCATATGCTTGAGGTATCCAAGGATGAGAAACCAAGGAAATTACACAAACAGAACTTCATCCATCTTTTCTCAAAAGATTAGCTAATTTCTCAAAAGATTAGTGAAGACAACTTCATAGCTCAACTGAACATTTCATTTCCAAATAATGACGCAAGTGCTTTAAAATACGCAAACGCTTAACATTCTGCTTTTAAATCCTACAGAAGCTTGTTTTCATTATGAGCATGCTATCCACAATTATTTGGAATTTGTTTAGTCTGTCGCACTGCAAACTGGATCACACCAGAGACAGTTGCACCACAAAACACTAGGGAATCATGGCACTTGAATTTATTTGAATCAAAACCATACATGACTAAATCACAGAGACCACATCTCAAGTGCATAATTATTACACCACATTGAATGAGTTCATTTATTTATTTTTTGTTCTCAGGAAAGGCTGTGAAAACCTTTCACACTACAACTCCAAGTCAAACATATTCAAGAAATCTGTACATAACGTAGGAATCCGCAAGAAGCCCTGAAGAATTTCAAGTATCTGTGAACGATACGTGGATTTAATTGTAGCGTTGATAATCGAACAATTAGTGTTTACATCCGTCAAGGACACGGGCACGTAACTTTGATTTTGTTCATATAGCTATAAAGCGAAGACCCTCATCAACTTAAGTGTTCAGTCAACGGACAAATAATTGAGTGACATTTGGCTTCAAGTACCCTTCTTATAAATAGTGATGCATGACAACTCTGAGAACATACGTAATATAGGACAAATCACACCCAACTCTAAATCAATTTCGAAATTGACTGGACCGAATGAATGAGAGCTGAAAAGGCGAAGGGAGTCATTTCTGCACCACTAAACAGAATTGCAAAGATTTGTACATTTTCTGAAGGAGGTGAGTTGTATTTGGCTGTTCAAAATATTATAGTGTTGCTAAAGGGTTCAAAGTGTCTTTGCCATATTGTTAAGCGTTCTATATGGAAGTCCGTTTCCGCCACTGAATAAAAAAATATATATAATTGCGAATTTTTCTCACAATTCTGACTTTTTTCCTCAGAATTGCAACAATTGTAAGAAAACCGCTTTTTTCCCCCCCCCAAAGCGAAACTTACATTTGCAAGATTATATCTTACAATTCTGAGAAAAGAAGTCAGAATTGCGAGATATAAACTTGCAACTGCGAGAAAAATGTCAGAATTGCGAGTTTATCTCACAATTCTGAATTTATGCCCCGGTTTCACAGACAGGGCTTAGACTAAGCCAGGATTAGGCCATAGTTCAATTAGGACATTTAAGTAATTTTTATGGACGTACTTAGAAAAAAACATTACTGGTGTGCATCTTGAGATAAAACAAAGGCACTGATATATTTTAAGATCAGTCAGTGCAAGTTTCTTTCAGTTGAAACAGCTCAGACTTACATTTTAGTCTAGGATTAGGCTTAAGCCTTGTCTGTGAAACCGGGGGTATATCTAGCAATTATGAGTTGGTACCTCACAATTCTGAAAAAAAATTTTTTATTGTGAGATAAAAAGTTGCATTTACCTTTATGGGCTTCCATAGTTCTATATGTTTGTTTACGAGTCAAAATTAAAGGAGTCCATGCAGCACATTATATTCTGGTCCCTCTATATCTTGAGTCCATCTTTCAAATGTAAGGTCTAACAGATTTTTTCAACTATTATCGTCTGCCAGGCAAACTATTTTAAGATAAGAGGAGATTAACAGTGCACAATTTCATTCCACAAACTTTGGTGTGCATCACATCTCGCACTGTTTAATACTCAGGGTTAGCATTTCGGGTAATGTTGTCATGTCAAATTTGGATGCTTAAACAGATCTTAGTTTCGTTTGGTACCGCAGTGACACAGAAAATGACACGCTTCACCTTTAAAAAGACTTGACTATGCATATGTAATTTAAAAATGAAATGGGAGTGTAGAATAACTCCGTGTTGACTTAAGATCATTATAAATTACGAGAAAGAAAAAACCCTTATCCACCCTTACAATGAGGTATTTTTGTGGAGCGAAATATAATTTTTATGGGTGAGAAGGAAAGTTTCTCGGAAGATTTGGCCTTTAAGTTGGTGACGAAATGGGCATGACAACAAGCATCCACCAGTATCAATATCAGTGACAGCTTCGCCATTTGGAAAGTTTTAATCAGCTGCTTTCACAGCCGGAATAAATAGAATTTTACAAGATAAAAGCCGCTGTGACTTTTGAGAATAGATAAGGCACTGGATCTGGCCTTCTAGTGCAACAGCAACTCAAGAGTGATAGATGATTGAAACAAACGCAACATGATGAGAACATGATCATGTTTAAAAAGGATGAATCAGCCCACAGAGAGAAGAATCAGGGGGCGTGTCTTATTTCTATTGACACTGATGGTCTCCAATCAGAGTTCAGAACACATTTGGTTTTCAGTGAAGGAAGCGGATGCTCATCTTCTGTTCGACATCCACTTTTTCCAATACCTGAGGAACGAAAAAGGGTGTTTGAAAATAAACAAATCACCCAAAAACTTTTAATCACTTTCATATCATTGTTGCTTTCCTGAGGCAAAAGGGAACAATTTAGCATTACATCACTTGCACACCAATGGATCCTCTGCAGTGAATGGGTGCCGTCAGAATGAAAGTCCACACAGCTCATAAAAACATCACAAGTATCCACAAGTAATCCACACCACTCCAGCCCATCAATTAATGTCAAAAAATGATCAAATCCATCATCAAGACGTTTTTAACTTCTGTTGCTTCCAGTTGAAAATGAATCCTCAATCCATAATATTGCATTCTAATCTCGTCTGGATCAGGAAAGAAATATGTTCAGATCAAGCACCACATATTTTGGTGGATTTTGATATGAGAGTACAACGGTTTTAAGTTAAAGCGCCTTTACAATGGATTTGTTTCTCACAAACACGTGGCTTCACACTTCACAAGATGTTAATTGATGGACTGGAGTGGTGTGGATTACTTTGGTGTTTTTATCAGCTGTTTGGACTCTCATTCTGACGGCACCCATTCACTGCCGAGGATTTACTGGTGAGGAAATGATGTAATGCTAAATTTCTCCAGTTCAGTTCCGATGAAAAAATGAACTCATGTTCATCTTGGATGACCTGAGGGCGAGTAAACTTTCAGCTAATTTTTATTTTTGTGTGGACTATTCCCTGAAGTAGAACACACCTACTTGCTTTTCCTGGCATTACCTTGGTGAACTCACTGAAGGAGATACACATGTCTCCATTAGTGTCAGCTTCCTGGATGGTTCTGTCTGCAATGCTTCCAAGTTGCTCATCAGAAATATTCACGCCCACCATCATTCTCAAAACCTGGAAAACACCAAGTTTAAGTCTGTTTTATTTATATTTTTTTACATTATTATCTGGTGCCATCAAGTGGCTCAACAGCAGACTGCAATTCCCTATGCACGCACTTTTCCAAATGACTTATTTCACAAGACTCCTGAGGTTCAAAAAGACCATCTACTGAAACAAACCTGCAAAAAAGGTTCATACTGGATTTTATAATGTTAGAATTCTGAATAATTATTCAGTGTTGACCCACCCAGTAATAGTAAAGTAATACAAGTATGCTAGATACAATTATTTATATTTTATCAGTCACACTGCATATCCTTCCTAGAATTTCAACCCCCAAAAATGAGTGGCTTAAGTTTATTTTAAACAATATCTCTTTATCAATTAGCATTTTATACTCATCTTAACTTTATTTCAGTGTGGTTTGATTTGTGAATCTATCAAAAAATGTATAGAAGCTTTATAAAGAGGCTTTTTTCCCCCCAAGATGGGACAGTTAAAAACTATTGGGAACAACAAACCTGTTTAAGTGGAGTAAAGTGCTGTTTATTATTTTATATGTGAAGGAAAAAATGGCATGTGAAATTCTAATGGCCTCAGAGTGGAATAAAGTCAGCAAAAACTAAGCAACAAAAAGAAACCCAACTATGAATGAATAAAAAATATATATAGTATAAATTTAAAGGGTAACAAAAAAGGGATTTGTTAAAATAAATATTCCCTAACAGAAATTAATAGAAGGATAAGCATTGCCATGGGCTTGTGGAAAGATTACACATTGCAATGATAATTCAGAAATATTTTGTAGCTACATTAACATTTGTGTTCATTGATTACACAACAGTATAAACAAGTTTTATACATTTTGCATTTGTAAACCTTTCATAGGTTTGTATTATTTAAAAATCTAGTAATATGTACAAGCATAGAAATTCAGGTTAAAATATAACAGTAGAAAAAAAAATCAAGCATTTCCATGTTTGACAGGAAAGTAAAAATAATATATCCCTGAAATACCATGGGTTAATTCTATTTCCAATGTTTGACAGGAAAGTACAAATAATATGTCTCTGAAGTCCCCTAAACCTGATCTTCTGGGTTTCCCAGTCTAACAGAGCGTCTTCTGTGAATATGAATAGCTGGTTTCAGATGGCAAGGGCAGGCGAGTCAGTGCCTCGTTGTTCAGACGATACAGAATGTTCTTTTGTCTCCCGTGTCAGAGACGGGTGTAGCGGTTTTCTGTTGGACATTAAGCACGATTCTCTTACCTGTAGCAGTTCGTCTCTAGAGATCTTGTCGTCTCGGTCAAGGTCGTATAACCGAAAAGCGACTGCGAAAAAATACGAGAAAAACTAAATATTATTAAAAGCTTTAAGTCGCAACACTTTGTGCTAGATGAACACACTGTATGGCCTTGTTACAGAGAACAGGTTTCCTGAGCAGAGATTAAGAGCAGCTAAAGCATGTTTTACAGGATCATTAAAAAGAGCAAGTTTAAGACCAGGCTCAGTTCAAGCCCTTTGTTTCCCTTTGGGAAATGACATTTTGCCTGCTTTTAAATGCTTAGATGATACTCAAGTAAAATGATATGACAGACGGCTTCATTCTTGAAAGCTTTTAAAGTGCCTCTATTATGGATTTTTGAAAATGACCTTTCATGCAGTGTGTAACACAGCTCTAAGTGAATGAAAACATTCTGCAAAGTTTTAAATCTGAAAGTGCACCGTGTATAAAGTTATTGTCTCTCAAAAGAAAGAGTCGACTCTGAATCATTGAAACGAGTCGTTTTTAAAACAAATCCCAAGTCGTTTCATGTTGATGTCAACATTAAACATTAGCATATCGCCCCGCCCACTTGTTGCTCTTTTCAGGTTGTTCTGAATGAAAATGCAAATTCATTCTCTGCCACTAGGTGCCACTTTTGGAGCTGTAAAAATAGCAGTTTCCCCGGCAACGCTGTACACAAAGCAGCACTGCGCTCACAAACGCTGCTTTATCAGGCATTACAGGCATGATGAAATGAAAATGAGACCAATCGGACCAATCACCGCAGAGTAGCGTCACGCAGAGGAGGGGCTTGGAAAAATGAATCTTTGAGCGAATCGTTTGGGAGTCGTTGAGCAAGTAAAGTAAAAATAAATGCATATTATAAGACAACGAAAGTGATTTTTGACCTGTTGTTGGGGACTCCCAAAACCAAAATATGAACCTTTCATTACCCATAATAGGGGCACTTTAATGCATCTTTTATTTTGGCCATTAAGTTTTTAAATGGCATTAAATGAGTTTCATTATCATTCATTGTCTTGAGACTTTTCAAACTTAAACTTAACGACTTTATTCCGCATTTTCGTCTCTACTGCGTCACTTGTGGACACGCGTTCACGACAGTATCATGGCGCAAGCATGTGGCGGCGCCGGCGCTGACCCAGATTGCCACGGACTACTTTGTCGATCATCTTGGTATTTTTCTGGACCTTGAATGTGGTAGTTACCTTGCTGTCTATGGGAGGGTCAGAGAGCCCTCAGATTTCATCAAAAATATCTTAAATTGTGTTCCGAAGATGAACGAAGGTCTTACGGGTTTCGAACAACACGAGGGTGAGTAATTAATGACAGAATTTTCATTTTTGGATGAACTAACCCTTTAACAGTTTAAAATGGTATTTAAAAACTTAACATTTAAAAATGTTTATGGAGGTCCCTGTGAACATTTCTACTATGTTAAAAATGATTTTCTATTAGAATACGTTTTAAAATGTAATTCATTCCTGTAACGCAAAGCTGGATTTTCAGCATCATTACTCCAGTCTTCAGTGCCACATGATCCTTCAGAAATCATTCTAATATGCTACTTCGCTGCTCAAGAAACATTTCTTATAAATATTAATGTTGACAACAGTTGTGCTGCTCAATATTTTTGTGGACACAAACAAAAACTTGGCATTAATATGAGAGGTGTTTGAGCTGGACTCACAGAAGAGTTTGTTGGTCCTGCTGTTGAGCGGCTCGCCAGAAGTCGGGTCTTTGTTTTTCTCGTTATCCTCCACAGGACGGAAGTGAGCCAGAGTCCTCATGAAGCCCCGAAAGTTCACCTGATCCTCACTGAAATACATGAGAGAGAGAGACACACACACACACACACACACAAAGAGACTTTAAAACTGATGTCGTGTTTACTAAGATCCACACTAGTTGTCGACTGATATGGTTTTAATCTCTGCAGGGCCAGACGTTGCCCCAGACAAGCTCCCTGATGCCTAAACATGGAAACTGCTGTCCTACTTCAGACTCATGCTTCACAATGTTTTTCACTGACAAGCCCACAAAGTGGTTTCTTCATACTTTAAGGAATTTGAGCCACAGGAACACTCAAACCAAGAAGAAACCAACAACCCATGTGACACCACCCACATGCTGTGTGTTTTGAGACAGTAATGATAGAGTTTGCAGAAGTTACAGAACATGATTTCATACAGTAACATTATTACAGCCAAATAATTCACACAAGCACTGATATGGAAACTACATTCTCTGAGAAATTGAGACAAAAGTTATGAAACCGATCAAGAATTTGCTCTCAAAAAAAAAAAAAAAAAAAAAAACTGAAATAGTTTTTCAGAGGGAAAATGAAACCTATGTTTTAAAACCATAATGTATTGTGACATTATTTTCATAACTTTGAACCGCATTTCCCCCCATTTTCATTATTGTTTTGAAAAAAAATCACACTACTGTGTTCAAAAGTTTGAAGTCAGTACATTTTGTTATTGAAAGAAATTAATACTTTTATTCTGCTAGGAATCATTAAATTGATCAAAAGTGACTGTAAAGACATTTTTAATGTTACAAAAAAAAATTCTATTTCACATAAATGCTGCTCTTTTGAACTTTCTATTCATCAGAAAACCAGAATTTTTTTTATCAAAATTTCTAAATAAATCAATAAATAAGTGGCACAACAATATTGATATTAATACGATTTTTTCCTTAAGCAGCAAATTAGCATATTATAATTATTTCTGAAGTATCTTGTGACACTGAAGACTGGAGTAATGATGCTGAAAATTCAGCTTTGTCATCACACGAAGTTGTAATATTTCACAATATTACTGTACTTACATTTAAAAAATGCAGTCATGGTTCTTCTTTCTTAAAACATACAAAAAAATCTTACCAACCCTCAAACCTTTGAACAGTAGTGTGTAAATATATATTCATAATTAAAACTTATTTGTCATGAAAACAATGTCACAATGCAGAAAAAAAGAAGTTAAAATGAGATAAATTTTATTAATCCAGAAATGTATTTATTAATTATTTTCTTATTATTTTTATTTGATTTTTTTGCTTTTGGCGTGAAATACAGACACATATTTCTCCTTTTCTTATTACCCATTTTGTCTTCTCTTTTCCATTTACTTATATTTAACGGTTTTCTTTCATTTGTGCACTTTATTGTGCACTATGTTCGTTGTACAAGCAGAAAAAAGCATTAAATCAAATCAGTGTGTATACAGTGTACTATACTGGTGCAATAAAAGATCTATCTGACGTTGCATATGTCTTATGACATGTTCCTCACCCCTCTGGGAAGAAGGCATTAATTATCCGATCGCCAAGAGGATTTATGGCCAACTCGGGAATCCTCTGGAAGTCTTCTCGGCTGAGGAGGAGAAAAAGAGAGGTAGGGAGGGGTTACTATGCATTTTGGATAAATTTCAGGTTTTGCACACAGATGCGCCTACAGAAACAAGCCGGGTGCATATAGTAACGTAAGAGACCATCCTTATTTAATAATACAATGATTATTCTTATAAAACTGCCCTTCTCGAATGAAAAGCAGTTGTCCCTAGTGAAAAGTAAATCTGCTGAAACACCTGACATGGTTTGATTGTTTTCAGGCTTTTTACTTTGAGCCAGTAAGAGTTTTTCAGCTTGCGCACGTCTCTCTGTGCTCTTGGGTTGACATTGGATCATGTAACGTGTAATAAAGCAGGAAAGCCCATCCCTAATTCTGTGAAAATGGGACTTGTTAAAAGAATACTTTGATGTCTACCAGCCTTCATATGGCTGATATGAGTAATAATAAATATTGTGTAATAATTACAGTGCTCAATTAGAACTGTAATCCCATTACAATAATGAAAAAGCAGTTTCATAATGGATTATTTCTGGGAGTAACCTTCTCGTGCATAAGGAAAGTCATGAAGTGACCTCGACATTCAGAGGACACACACACCTCACCCTGATTTCGGTGACTATTTCTTGTTCAAACAAGAGCCTGTGTCTCTAATCTCAGCCTGACGGATGTTTGGGGTGACAACAAGTACAGCAGGTCATCAACACTGTTGGATTTTTTTTTTTTATATGAACCATATCGCTGAGGATGTTTGTTGAACTAACCATCATCTCAGCTGGTTTCAAACCACAGAGGATGTTGCAATTAAAAACAAACAATTACAACAAGAACACAACTTGTGACTTCAGCATATTTGGTAAACAGAACGAGTTTAGTTTCATAAGACACGTCACAGACATGCTTTACAAAAGAGTTAGTTTTCAAGTAAAAAGTTGGGATATTATACACTTCCATACAAAAGTTTGGGGTTTTTGAAAGAAGTCTCACCAAAGCTACATTTGAGCAAAAATACTGTAAAAATCGTATTAATGTGAAATATTATTACAATTTTAAAAAGATGTTATCTATTTGAATATATTGTAAAATTTAATTTATTTCTGTAATGAAAAGCTGAATTACTGCAGTCTTCAGTGTCACACGATCCTTCAGAAATCATTCTAATATGCTGATTTTCTGCTCAACAAACATTTCTTTTCTTATCATTCATCTTGAAAGCAGTTGTGCTGCTATTTTTATGGAAATATATTTTTTCAAGGTTCTTTGATGCATAGAAAGTATAAAAAATAACAGCATTTTTTTAAAACAGAAAACCTTTGCAACATTATAAATGTGTTTCTGTAACTTAAAAAAAAAAAAAAAGATCAATTTAATAGACCCTTGCTGAATAAAATTCATTATTTCTTACAAAAACAAAAATCCTGGTCACAGTTTTGGGGGGAAAAAAGTTGCTAGTTTCACCAATTTTGTAGTGCATACAGTTCTTTTCACAAAATAAAAAGTACTTTTGGCTATATTTTGTTTTAATCCTTCAAAACACACCATAGTTTATTCAATCTATGATGACTAGTGGTCGGCCGATATATCGGCCAATATTTGGCATTTTTCAAATATCGGCATCGGCCGATAAGTTTGTCTGTTTGGCCAATGCGTTCGAGGCGGGACATTTATTTTGACGGCGCTGAGAGCGGCTTATCGGCTGTCAAAAAAAAAAACAATATCGGTCGACCACTAATGATGACACATTAAACTTTAATTAGAAATGGTACCAAATCCATTTCAAATATCAAATGCACAACACTAAAACATATTGCAATACTTGTGGACAATGTGTGTGATACATGTGCTATAAATGCATTATTAATACTGCATTTATCACCAGGTTTTAACCATCACAACTGTGCTACTGCTTTCTCATCTTCTTTATAACAACCTTCCAACGATCATAATCGCAGGTCACTTATGAGGACACACAGAGGACATTATGCAAACAACTTTGGCACAAGGAAATACACGCTTCATAACTGTCCTTGAGCTCCCTCTTTTACAAGGAATATTTACAATGAAAGTCATATTTTTAGCAGTGTAATCGAAAAAAGGTTTTCCTCGCAGTCAAAACTCAAACACTGATCTAGCCATGCCTTAACATATTAACTTACAGAGCCTGAGGCTGGTGTGAATGTTTACCAGAGAGCCGGAACACGTTCAAACTGAGACGATCAAAGGATGTTCATTAAAAGCGAGCATGCAGACGTAACCGAGCCGCTTGTGTAATACCTGCTTCCTCATGGGCCAAAGGTGTTGCAACAACACACTGTTAAAGTTCATTATTACTCAACTCATGTAATTCAGTGCCGTATGTCGTACCTGAGCGCTCCATTTTCTCCTTTATCGAGACTGTGAAAGCGGCTGTAGAGGCGAGTGATCTGACTGTGGGAGACTGGAACACACAAACACAACAAGGTCTGGTTAAGGACAGTGAACATTCAAGTCCCAGATGTGATCATCAGATGGACAGTACTGGTTAAAGCTTATCTGAATGACCTAACACACTAGAGATTTCTCAAACTAGACAAGAGATAGTGAACGTCTTGTATCACGGAAGAATTATTATCACCTTGAGATCAGTGTAGACAGGATTTATGAAACCATTTAGACACTTTAATGTTGAAACAAGCTGATCTTGATACTTCTAATTTCTAATTAAAAAAAAAAAAAAAAAAAGAGAATGACAAAATGTCCAGCATCCAGCTTTAAGTAAATAAAGATTTTTTTTTTATTGAATAAATTTGTATTTTGCATAGGCTATATATTCTATAAAACTAAATTAACAAATGTGTACTTTGCATATATCTTTTAATTGTATAAATAAATGTGTACTTTGGATTTAAGCAAGCAAGTAAATAATAAAATACAGAACTAATTAATTAAAATATGCCTAATGTCCTGGAAGTAAATAAATAGGCCAATATATATATATATTTTTTTTTATAAATATTTTTTTAACCCAAATAAATAAAATTGCACTTTGCATTAAGTGAGCAAATGAATAAATAAAGAAACTAAACAAACATAAAAATAAATCAGAAAATGTGTCCAATATTCTGGAAGTAAATGAATAATTTGTTCTAAATAAATTTGTATTTTGCAAATTTTTTAAAGAAAAAATACATTTGTACTTTGTATTTATTTTTTAAATAAATAAATGAAAGGACAAAATGTACTAAATATCCTGGAAGTAAATAAATATATATATTTTAAAAATACATTTGTACTCTGCATATATCTTTAAAAAAAAAAAAAAAAATCTGTACTTTGAATATATTTTTTAAATAAATAAGCATTTATTTATTTAGGCTAATATATTACAAACATACTCTGGACTTTATTTGGACACTTGTTTTTTTTTTTCAGTCATCAAACCAAATAAATACAAAAAGGAACATACTTCATAAAACGAGTTTTGATTCCAGCTTTGCACACTGTTCATTATCTCAACCAATTTCATAAAGTGCATCCTGGGATACTTTATGTATACTGGACACTAACTGGTTTCTTTTCCTTCACTTCAACACAATTTAGCCAAACTAAAAAAAATTGTAAAGAAATCAATGTAAACTGGAACATCCATTCACCAGAGAAAAGCTGCTTTGGCACAGTATGTATTCATGGAAAGTGGTTTCCCATTTTAATCACAGTAAAGCCAATTACTGACCACATCAGTGGAACATCTTCCACAACAATTCAGTCTTTGATCAACACAGATTTAAAGTAAATGAGATGAACGAATACAGAACCATCCCACATGATGGAGGAAGTCACAAAGTGACGTTCAGTCAGGAGTTAAAACACAACCACATAAAGAGTAGCAGTGTGAAATCCTGGCTTCTGCCCAGTAGGTTTTCACACCAGAGGACGAGAGCGGAAAAAAACAGACAATTACAAGAAGGAGAGCACTTTATGTGGCTTTAAAGGAATGTAGTAAAATCTGGGCTTACAAACATGTAAAAAAAAAAGGTCATGAAACACATGCATACAAATCTTGGCATTAGAAAGTATGAATATTAACAGCTAGACCGCCTGCAGACCTTTTGAGCTTGGTATGTGTGGTCTGCAAAATAAAGACTAACATATAACCCATAAAGCATATCCCCAGTCTATTTCTAGATGTTGTGGGGGTGGACGTTTCTCTCCCTGTGGTTCATCCGTACAGAAGGCCGAAGCACTGAGACGGCGGAGATTGGAAATTGCTGCTTGGCCCTCATAGCATTTTGTAAACCTCTAACAGCAGATGCACAGGTGCAAACGGTGTCATTAAAATCGAATTATGTTCATCAGTGCAACGCAAACAGCGATCCAGACATAACTTCACCCAGATGTTTGAAAAACTCCCAAAGGGGGGGTTTCACAGTGATGCTATAGATTATTGGGTTTCCCAAAGAACCTTGTAGCACACAGTTCTAAAAAAAAAAAAAAAACTTTTTTTTATTAGTGTGAAGATCATTTTAATAGTCTGAAGAACCTTTTTCCACTATAAAGAACCTTTTGTGCAGTGGAAAGATTCCATGGATGTTAAAGGTTCTTCATGGAACTATATTATTTCATGTAAAGCCTTCTTTAAGTATGTGTTTAAAATGAATAAAAAATGTTTGACAGATGCAAATTATTGTAAAATTTAGATTAGAATATATAGTGTTTTCCTGTTCTCTGGTTTTCAATAAATGAACAATGTTTATGCATTTTCTGTTTTTATAACACCAATATTACAACACATAGCAATGAATAACAATTTTAATACATTAAAAATGTCACAAGGGACTTTTTAAAAAAATTTTGATTAATGATAAACAAATCATCAAGTCAGAGATCTTTTAATATATCACCCAGCCCTACACATGTAAATATAATAGTTCTTTATTGCCCTCTATCTATCTATCTGATCAATTGATTTATACAATATTGTATACGTTCTGCCCTCTCAGACACTATTCTGAGACACATTCCCTTCTGTCCACTGTCCGAAAATTATCATGGAAAACATGCCTTGATTATTTTAACCTAAATTTTACAATAATTTTCATCGGCCAAACTCAGTCATTTTTAATCTATTGTGTTAAAACAAAATCAAAATCAAAAACAAAAACAATACAACCAGTTCAAACAATTCCAAAGTACATAGTAAATATACACAGTATATATATATATATATAATGTAGACAAAAACTTTTATTTTGGATACGATTAATCGCGATTAATCGTTGCCCAGCACTAAATATATATATATATATATGCACAGCAGTATTTCTAATATAACAGATACTATATCTGTTGCCCCTCAATACACACCCCACTCATATCACCACAACAACACACACACACACACACACGCACACACACACACACACACAGACAGACCAGATGTTATATAGTTATATAGGTAGCTGAAGCATAACATGTTCTGAGCTTCTTATTAACCAATAATATTTTTAAAATTATATATCTATAAGGGAGTGTGTCTTGGATCCTGTAACACCAGTTCCACCAAGATTTTAAGACTTTCTTCTAGCTATTTTCTCTTATCTCAAGTAATACGATGCCATACAAACTGGAAGCACAATAATACCTACACAGGAAAGAGCTAATGCTGTTTTAGATGGAGTTTAGTCATATGTCACATCACAGGACATGAAATACTTCCCAAAAAGCTCTGTATTACATGTAACATCATTGTCCAAACTCTCTAGCGATGTCTATATAACCCAGACACATATTAATTCACCCAAAACCGCTACTCACATCCCGTTTGTTTCTTGATTTCTTCAATGTCCTCTTCTCTGAGTAGAGATGAAGCTCTGGAGCCCATGACTGCTGTTTCTACTGGAGTTCAGCTCGAGCTAACACATGAAATTCACTCTGTGAAGCTGTCGGATGAACAGTCAGCCTTCACAACTGTCTGTCCCGCGTTATTAACCTCCAGCTTCTTAAATACAACCGGTTCAGGAGCGATCCAAATCAAATCTAGCTGAATAAAGGAAGAGTTTGAAAGGCTAAGCTAAAGGTTGGTCGGAGTGGATCTACATGACGTCTGCAAATGCCGATTCGGTGTTTGTGTGCGGGGTGGACACGCCCATTGAATAACGCGCTATGATTGGTCGGTGCGGTTGTCTGTCAAGTGGGTGGGATTTAATGGGCCAAGCGTGTGCTTTCTTGCTGAGGGTGGAACACAACATTCCTAGAAATTGAATTAAGCTGGTAGAGTGACAATGAAATGGGGATGCCATATCAGACAAATGCAACATTCACAAAATGAGAACAGCACAATAGAACTGAAGGGTTTTACAGAAAGCCATTCAAAAGACAAAACCATATAAATATATAAATAATCTAAACCTATTTCTCTGCAATTTATATCCTTTTGGTCTTAAAGAAATAAACCTTAATTCCTGATCTTTAAACTATCTGGCTGAAAATAAATGTACTTTTGTTGTTTAAAAAACTCAAGTATTATTATTATTAGTCTAATATTGTTATAGTATTATTTTAAATAATGTATAAAAAAAGATTTTTTCTAGCAAAGTAAATAATCAGAAAATTATTTATATACGCTATACCATTTTAGTTTTTATTAATATTTTGAATGAGCTATTTTTATACTTTGTTTTTATTTTAATTTTGGTTAAAGTTTTAGTAATTTTATGTGTTTTTTTTTTAATGATTACTATTTAGGTTTTCAGTTTTTTTTATTTATTTTTTTTATTGCCAGTTAGCAATTTTAGTGCTTCAACTTAAACTTCACAGAAATTATAAATGTTGCCCTGGCAATTAACTGAAATAAGTTTCGTTTTTTCCCCCATCTAATATCCATATTTTATTACATTTATTTCAATTAAGAAAAACATGTTTTAATAGTTTTAGCTTAACCCTGGCTCAGACACTTAAATGAAACTTAATTAATTATAGCTTGTGAGAAGCTTCTAAAAAAAAGGCTGGGTTAAATACAACCCAGCGCTGGGTAAAATATGGACAAACCCAGCGACTGGGTTGTTTTCAACCAACAGATGGGTTAAATGTTTAACCCAACCTTCTGGGCAGTAACCCAACCGCTGGGTCAAAACAACCCAATCGCTGGGTTTGTCCATATTTTACCCAGCGCTGGGTTGTATTTAACCCATCATTTTTTAGAGTGTAGAAAACAAAATAACAATGGAAACAAAAAGGTAGAGTTCATTTCTTAGAAAGAGGGGTGGTAGTTGTTTTTCATGATGGTGTTGAATTTGAATGTTTATCATTACCACCACTAATATTTTTACGCTTTACTGTTACACATACTGATCTAAATTACATTCCACTGTCATTTTGAAACACAAAGTATAAAATCAGCTTGAGCTTCCTCACTCTTATCGCTAAACAGAGTTTTATGAAGCTCTCAGCGAGCAGTCATTTTTGCAGTTATTAAGAAAAGCCACAATTTGTTATAATCCTTGTCTACTTACACAGGCCTATAGAGAGAGAGAATTTAGTAGGGCGTTAGCTACATGTCCCTACCAATATCCAGCAACTACTAAATTGTTCCTAGCAATAATGTTGATCAAACAATTAAATAGGCTATACAGGTGCATCTCAATAAATTAGAATGTCGTGGAAAAGTTGATTTATTTCAGTAATTCAACTCAAATTGTGAAACTCGTGTATTAAATAAATTCAATGCGCACAGACTAAATTAGGCCTAGTGAACCAAACTGAGAGACCATTTTGAAGGCTCAGGAAACCTTTGCAGGTGTTTTGAGTTGATTAGCTGATTGGCATTTCACCATATTCTAATTTGTTGAGATATTGAATTGGTGGGTTTTTGTTAAATGTGAGCCAAAATCATCACAATTAAAAGAACCAAAGACTTAAACTACTTCAGTCTGTGTGCATTGAATTTATTCAATACACGAGTTTCACAATTTGAGTTGAATTACTGAAATAAATGAACTTTTCCACAACATTCTAATTTATTGAGATGCACCTGTATATGTAACCACTGGTGTTGTAATTTCGGCCTCATCTAGGCTAGGTCATACCACTGATACCACATTTAATACATGGGTTAGAGTAAAAACATATAAGGCAGCCAAAGTGTTTAAAACATAGCCTACGTGCACAGTTCAGTTGAATGATAAAGTTTACCCTCTTTAATTTTATGTTGTTGTGCTGTTTTGTGTTCATCTGCTTCTCCCATTTGCTTTTTGCATTTTTACATTGACTATCACTCTATATATAGACTAATACAATCAGATACAACAACAAGTTCTCAAATATTTATTACAATATATACTGATACATTTAACATTCACTTCAATGGTATGAGATGACTCATTTGATTTGGAACTTCGCGTATCGCGAATCTTTCGATTCAGATTGGAACTTCGGAGGGCGGATCGCGAATCATTTGATTTCGATCAGAACTTTGCGTATTGCAAATCTTTTGATTCAGATCGGAACCTCCAAACTTTCGAGTCCCGATCTGAAATGATGGTTCGCAAATCATTATTCACATCGGGACAGAAGGTGGATCGCAAACCATTTGATTTAGATCGGATCTTCGGAGTGGGTTTATGAATCTTTTGATTCAGAATCGAACTTCGAACATCTAATACGGAAAGAAAAGTCCCTTATAAAATCTTCTTCATCATCTGTTTATACATGTGACAGATACATTGGATATTTATTTCACTTTGGTTCACCTGTTTGCTCAATACTTTCTTGGTATCAACCATGGATAAATCAGTCAGTGACTAACGTGGTGTTGTTGGTAGTTGGAAGGATGCTAGTATTGAGGACACTGGAAATAAAAACTAGAGACACCAATCGAAAGATTTTTTGCTGGAAACATTTCAAAAGGAAAACGAAGAAACACATATTTCCTAATAAGTTGTGAGCATGGCACACAACATCCACCTCAAACCAAAGCAGTGAAATACATTCACCCTGTTCATTTTATTCTGATATTAAAATGAAACTAAAATATAAATCAAAACTAACAATGTATATTTAAAATTAATATTTTGTACAACATAATGGCGCATATGCATATGGGGATATGAGAATGCATCTACTGCATAGTAGGAACTACCTTAGTGTATACTCGTTCTGTTTTACTTTCCTAAATGGTTGTACTAGAAATAAAAAAGAACTGCGATGCCTTGTGATTCTGAGAAAAATTCTCTTCAACTCATTATCAGTCATAAATTAACCTCTGCGGTCACGTGGTACATGTTACTTTACACAGCGCTGGTCAGAATGAGCCAATCACAATCAGTTGTGATTATTGAATTATTATTAGGTAATAAAGTCATTTTATAGATGTATTGCTGTGGCGGGTTTCAATTGAAATAACATTTAACATATTATAGCCTTTTAATGTACAAATCTCCCCTAGACGGCAAAAAAGTTGGAAGGTGATGATACGAATGTGGTTGAACAGAGGATTCAAGCGACCAAAAAACAGCATTGTGTGTTTATGCGGCAATGCTGCCATCTACTGCGTGAAGAGGGAAGTGTTAGAACATTGATTACCGTATCCAGCAATAAAAAAATGGGAAACACAATCTATTCGTTTGGATAGGCTACAAGTATGCTCATTACTTAACAACCTCAACAACTATTAAAATAACAATCCACAAAATTTATGTGGATAAATATCAGATAGCCTATAACTGTCTATGTGGCATAAACCAGAACCAGAAATATTAAGCTTGAAGAAGCAGAAAATCACACCAAACCTCTGAATTAAAACCAGAGAAAGCAAATAGTTTAAATAAATAAATAGGCTACACTTTTAAAATAGTAGTGGTGGCAGATCTTATTATTATTATTATTATACAATTTGAGGACACAGGTGAAACAAAACATTCAGCACAAAATAGTTTTTATTATTATTATTAAATATTTGAGAATAAATGGCAGAGATCATGAGTTTAGGGGTTTGCAGCAGCATATATGTATGGAGTGGTAGTCCAAACACTCATTACATGCTTTCATGCAGCTGGGTAAATACTGACGCTGGTTACTTGCCTACATAGAGGCTCTCAGCTCATTTGAGAGAGAGAAAGACCCCCTGGATGCTGCAGACTGAAGAAATGTAAAAGCTGTTGTCATATATATTATATATTTTAAATGCTTTTTCAAAAATGTGCAAAAAAATACATGGGTAGAAAATATATTTACTTTTGAAACATATTTTAGCATATATATATATTTAGCCATTTTGGTATGTTTTAAAATATATGTTAAAATATAGGCTATATTTGATTTTTAAAATGTATTTATAGTAATTTATTTTATTTATTTATTTTTTATTTATTGTATTTTATTTTTATTTATTTATTAAATTTTTTTGCTGCATGGCAATATATTGCTCATAGTTTATGTTAACCTTCTTTGCATGATGACGGCGCCTCAGTGTGGGCACGTGATGATGACGCAGAAGGGCACTTCAAGAAACAGTTGTTTGGTCCCCTACACCCTTCAACCCCTCAAAGCTCTCACTCCGGAGGGTAAACCCTTTGAAGGGATTAGGGCATAGGGATGAGCCCTTCCGAATGGAACGCAGGGTCTGTCTTGGAGTCTCTACTAATGAGCTGATGACCTGAATCAGGTGTGTTTTGATTAAGGAGACATGCAAAACGTGCAGTGTTGGGGTGCCTCCAGGACCAGGGTTGGGAACCACTGCATTTACTAATATTAACAAATAAGACATAAAGTGTTACCGGAAATACAAATAGCACAGGACTTCACTAGTTTAGATGATTCCAGGTAAAGAGCTCACAACAATTTTATTGAAACAGGTGGCTTTCCATTCCTGAAAATAAACTGATTTTAGGGCATGTAGGGCACCTCAAGCTCAATAAAAGAGCAAATGTCTCCTCCTGCCAAGAAATATCCAGAGTTGAGTGGTTGCATGCCTTGTAATACAAAGCTTACCGTTTTAAACCCTGGGCCGAGGCCTGCATTTATTCACGCGGGACAGGGAAACGCCCGCTGCACGGTTGTTGCTCTTGGACGTCTTGAGGGCAGGAACGTTTCTCCAGCTCTGTAAACCCATATGCTCTAATGACTTCCAGCA